AGATGAAGCAGTTTGAGTGTCTCCCAGTGTCATTCACAAGTAAGGGCAGTAGGAAGTAGAAACAAATACCAGAACCGATTTGGCTATAATAGCACAGTAATGCGGTAATAGAGCATGTTTATGATGGGAAATAGCTGTAAGTGCTAAGGGAAAGTGTTAAATCATCTGTTCCCACTTAATTTATATCTGTTGCTCTCCTCTCACCTATGCCGGCTCACGAAGATTGAATATTGACAAGAGGGGTGCGACCCCCGTGCAAGCGGCAGAAATGAAATTCGATAAGGTTCGAAATACCGGATTGTTTCATGTTCAGACAAGAAATTACAATGATTTGGGCTTTTGGTAAAGCTGCATGGTTGGCTCCCAGAGAAATACCTACTACCAGATCACCTGAATTTGTTGAACGGCCAAAATTACAGCGTATTGCAGCCGAGTTCTATTAGCCTTTTCCATTAATGGAGGACCAGTATTTTTGAAAACATCTGTTTTGGCTTCCGCTCTTCGAAACGAGCATCTGCCTCTAAAAATGAACGCATGAATCTTTCTTGTTTTTGGCCATAAATTAATTTACACTCATTTTTAGTAAGCAAAGATGAATTCATGGTGGGCTCATATGCGCCGCGGAAAGAAATGCACTGTTTTACAACGCCTTTAGAAGAAGCGCCTTCAGGTGAGGGTTCTTGCTTCATTGCTTTTATTTGTCTTTATTTTTTTGTATTTTTTGGTGCCATACATCGCGGTTCCTATAAAGTGAAGTCGCTCTTCACCGACGACGATAAAAACGAATTTTTGAGCTGGGAGTGGAATCTTGAGATCAAAAAGAAGGATTGAAAAGTTAGCTTCGGTTTACGGCCAGCATTTTCATATCTCATGATTTACATTGTTGTTTTCTTCCATGTATTTAGTTTTTTGATTTTGCATTGATAATTTGACAAGTGCTTGTTCACGGTTAAAGGCTAATTTGCATTCAGTTTATGCATATTATAGCGAATTCTTTATGTTCCTTGTTTTCTCTTTTAAATGCTTTCACTCCATTTGGGTGATTATTGTTGTTCATTGATTAATTTATTAGACAAATAATAAATTGTATATTTTGCTAGTAAATTTGTTTTATTCTTGCATGCTTGTTCCTGTCTCTGTACATCGATCATTAGTGGTATATCTTCGGTTTCGAATATTCCTCAGTTGTTTTAAAAAGAATTAAAATGAAAATAATTTATATGCACATAGTTTATGTATTTGAACTAAACTTGATACAATGATTTACTTGCTTTCAGTGCATTAGGCAGGAAAAGTACAGTAGCTGAGTCCTTCCGTTTCTGTGGCTTAAAGGTAGGTATTTCACGTTGTTACTGCACCTGCCTTGATTGGAAGTATAGATATCAGAGTTCGCAGTTGGCGCTGAATTCTTTCGAAGTCCCGGAGTAACCATAAATCTTTCCTTTGTGAAT